TGCCTAGCTTATTTCACTTAGCATAATGCTCTCCAGTTCCATCCATGCTGTCACAAAAGGTATAAGCTCCTTTCTTTCTGCTGCATAATTTTCCATTGTGTAAATGTACCAGTTTGTTTGTTTGTTTAAGATTTTATTTATTTATTTTTAGAAGGGAAGGGAAGGAGAAAGAGAGGGAGAGAAACATTAATGTGTGGTTGCTTCTCAAGTATCCCCAAATGGAGACATGGTCTGCAACTCAGGCATGTGCCCTGACTGGGAATCAAACCGACAACCCCTTGATTCACAGGCCCATGCTCAATCCACTGAACTACACCAGCCAGGTCATACCATAATTTTTGATGCATTCATTTATTGATGGGTACTTAGGTTGCTTCCAGCACTTGGCTATTATAAATTGTGCTGCTATGAACATTGGGGTGCATGGCTTCTTTTTAAAAAATATATTTTATTGATTATGCTATTACAGTTGTCCCATTTCCCTCCTTCATAAGCCTCCACCCAGCACACCCTTTCCCACCCACATTCCCCCCTTTTAGTTCATGTCTATGTGTCTTAAGTTCTTTAGCTTCCACATTTCCCAAACTATTATTGCCCTCCCCCTGTCTATTTTCTACCTACCATCTATGCTACTTATTCTCTGTACCTTTCCCCCTCTCTCCTCCTCCTACTCCCCTGTTGCTAACCCTCCATGTGATCTCCATTTCTGTGGTTCTGTTTCTGTTCTAGTCATTTGCTTAGTTTGCTTTTGGTTTGTTTTAGGTGTGGTTGTTAATAATTGTGAGTTTGCTATCATTTTACTATACATGTTTTTTATCTTCTTTTTCTTAGATAAGTCCCTTTAACATTTCATGTAATAAGGGCTTGGTGATGATGAGCTCCTTTAACTTGACCTTATCTGAGAAGCACTTTATCTGTCGTTCCATTCTAAATGAAAGCTTTGCTGGATAGAGCAATCTTGGATGTAGATCCTTGCCTTTCATGACTTGGACTACTTCTTTTTAGCCCCTTCTTGCCTGAAAGGTCTCTTTTCAGAAATCCGCTGACACTCTGATGGGAACTCCTTTGTAGGTGACTGTCCCCTTACCTCTTGCTGCTTCTTAGATTTCTCTCCTTCATTTTAATCTTGGGTAGTGTAATTATGATGTGCCTTGGTGTGTTCCTCCTTGGGTCCAACTTCTTTGGGACTCTCTGAGCTTCCTGGACTTCCTGGAAGTCTATTTCCTTTGCCAGATTGGGGAAGTTCTCCTTTATTATTTGTTCCAATAACTTTTCTACTCATTGCTCTTCCTCTTCCCCTTCTGGTACCTCTATAATTTGGATGTTGGAATGTTTCAAAATGTCCTGGAGGTTCCTAAGCCTCTCCTCATTTTTCTTCATTCCTTTCTGTTTGGTTGTTTCTTTCTTCCTTTTGGTATACTCCATTGCTTTGAGTCCCAGTTTTCTTCCTATCATTATTGGTTCGCTGTGCATTTTTCTTCATTTTACTTAGCATAGCCTTCATTTTTTCATCTAATTTGTGACCAAATTCAATGAATTCTGTGAGCATCCTGATCACCAGTGCTTTGAACTGTGCATCTGATAGATTGGCTATGTCTCAGTCATTTAGTTGTATTTGCTATGGAGCTTTGAGCTATTCTTCTATTTGAGCCTTTTTTTTGTCTTGTCACACCTGTTACGTATGAGGAGTGGAGCCTTAGGTGTTCACCAGGATGTGGCATCCCAGTTGCTGGATTGTGACACTGTATATGGGGGCAGGGTTTGAGAGGGAACAATGATGCTTGCTCCACTCTCTGTTGGACTTCAGTCCCTTCCACTGCTTCCCCCAAGCAAACTGGGCCCTTTTGGCACTGATTCCCATGGAGATGGGCATGTGTACATTCCAGGACCCTGTGGGTCTCTCCAATGAACTCTCCTGTGAGGTTGGGAGTCTCTCCCTGCACCTCAATACCCGCAGGTGTCCTCAATCAGTGTGCCGAGGCTCTATTTCCTGGTGCTGGGACCCTGGGTTGCATGCAGTGCCTTCTTTCACAATCACCACCTTGCTGGATCTGCCAGTTGCCACCCTGTGCCTTGGGTCTGCCAGCCACCAACTGCATGTTCATGGTCCACCCGCTGCAGTCTTGTGCAGCGGATGCCCTATACACCTGGTCCCACTGCTCTTTGTGCCTTGACCCCTCTCCTTCTAGCTGCACTACTCTACCCTTCTTGCTGGTCTGGATGAACATGTCTAGTTTAACTCCTTGGTTGTCTGACTTCCATGCAGTTCAGTTTTCTGTCAGTTCTGGTTGTTATTCTGTTTCTGAATTGTTGTTCCTATCTTGGTTGTGTGAGGCAGCACAGTGTGTCCACCTATGCCTCTATCTTGGCCAGAAGTCTGGTTCTTTTGAATTGGTGTTTCAGGATTCTTGGGGTATGATTCTGTTAATAACATTTTCTTTTCTCTTGTTTACTTTATTGTAAGAATACAGTACATAATACATATAACATACAACATATGTGTTAATTGATGGTTTATGTTATTGGCAAGGCTTCCGGTCAATGGTAGGCAATTAGTAATTAAGTTTTGGAGGAGTTAATAGTTATTCATGGAGATCAGTTGTTATACAGATACTGAATCATTATTTTGTACACTTGAAATTAATATGTTTTTGTCAATTATATCTCAATAAAATTTTTAAAATTTTCAGTAAAATGCACATCACATAAAGTTTACTATCCTAATAACCATTCTTAAGTGTACAGCTTAACAACATTATATGCATTCACATTGTACAATTCAGTATCATTTTGCAAGAAAATAAAAAGGGAGAGGGTGAGACAGAAGAACTCTATCTACTGTCCTCATCATTTCATAAAAGAAAGAGCATTGTAACACCAAAAGGAAAATAAGGCTGCCATAATAGATGTAAGAAATTCCTCCCTAACCTGTGGTAGAATGGCATAGAGAAAAATGATCATCCAGGGAAAAATAATAGTATAGAAGAAAACATAGCAAGGAATTCTGTACAGTCATTACTCAGATTTTTTAAAATGCTAACTTTTTGTCCTCTTTGCTCCTGGTCATTCCTGCTTGAAGTGACTATAATGAACTGTTTGTTACCAGGCCATGAAAACACAAAGAGCTTGTGCTAGAATAAAATGCGGTACACCACTAGACTTGCAGTTCAGTAGCTGATACTTTTTCACAGCAAGATTTTGTTGATGAAGGAAGCAGTGCATTGATTTACCTCCTTGCCTTTGTGTCTTAGATCAGTGGTCCAAGTGCCAATAGCAAGCAAGCCACATAATGGCACAGTCAGCAACCCTGTTCTAGATCTCATTGTGTTTTTATAGAAATAAAAGTTACAGTTGATGCCCACATATATTCATTCTGATATGATCACATTCTTTTCTCTTTCTCTCCAAAATTAAGTAGTGCACTGAGGTTGGTTTGTATTCTCCCAGTTCATACTATTCTGCACAAGCCCATTAGGATATGTAGTGTTGTTTTGTGTAAATGAAACCCTGTTTTATATAGCCTTCTGAAATTTTATTTGTCTCACATAGCATGATTTTAAAGACTTACCATTTTAATACACATATAGCTGCTTTTACAGTACTGCTTTTTCTGACTATGCCATATTATATTTATCTGTACTCCTGTCAGTGGATTTTTGGGTTGTTTTTAAGTTTTTGCTAATATAAATAACAATGCAGTGCACAATTTTGTGAGCCTTTCCTGTGCACACAAATGTGAATTTATCTAAGGGAGTTATCTGGGAGGAGAGTGAGTGGGTCAAAGTGAAGTGATATCTCCAGTTACAAAATCAAATTAGCATGTTAACCTACCTAGTTGTTACATACAGCTTTTCAGGTAAATGATGAGTGGGAAAGATAACATTGTAAGTCAACCATCAATAAAATTGGTTTTCTGGACCAAACTCAGAGTTTCTGATTGTTGATCTATCTAAAGATTTAGTTCCAAGTCTGTCTGTAATATAGAGATGATGCAACAGGTTGGTTACATTGACTTTTCTTTGTCTTTGTCTATGGGACAGGGACCAGTCAGGAAAAGCCAGCCCTTCATTAAGTTTCCCCCTTTGCTTGTGAACTGGAAAATATTTGCAGTCATGGTCTGGGAGGCAGATGAAACTGGGTGTTGCTGTCTCTTGGGCTTTGTTACAGATAGATATTTTTTGGCTCAAGAAAATGTCATGGGTCAAAACCTGACCAGTCTTCTTGGCATGTTTCTCAGCAGGACTTTCTGGAGTGGCTGTGCTGCAGCTCAGAGTATTAGGTGATCTAGGTTTCTTTTGACCATGTAGTCTGTGGTTTCTTTGGACAATTTGAGGAGATAGGTAGGGGAGAAGTAGACTCAGATTCTTTGGGATTAGATGTCACAGGCATGTCCCCAGCTGGTCTGGAGGAAGTCTGAGAGGGTTCCCATGGCCAGTGTCCCTGTGTAGCCACCATCAGCCTTGTAAAGGCATTTGGAGTTTTGGCTATGGATGAGTCAAGCACAGTCTCAAAGAACAAACTGATAACTGAGATGATGTTTAAATGTGCTTAATGTACTTTATTCACAGCCTCTCTCTTATCTATAGTAAATCGTGAAGTGTTTTGATCATTTTTTTTAAAAAAACAATAAATGGGAACACAACTTGGTAAGAAAAAACTATAGAGAAATCAAATAAAAAAATAAGACTAACAGCCTTTTCATTTATAGGGCTATCAAGTCTGTTAGTTGACTATTCCCAAATACCACATTGACAAAGCTGAGTTAATGGTGGGGGACAGTGGTCTGAGAGAGATCACACATATGGCTAATCTGTGTTAATGATGCAGGTGCCTCACTGATAAACATTTTATGTGTAATTTGGTGCATCAGAACCACTGTGGTCATCAGGTTATCAGACAAAAGCTTTTTCAGTGGTTGCTGTTTGTGAACTAATTGGTTCTTTGTGTATACAGACACATGTTTATATCTGCAAAATAATTTTTTTACTTTTGATAATTAGCTGTCAAAGCTTGAAAAACAACAGCAGAGGAAAGAAAAGACCAGAGCCAAAGGGCCTTCTGAATCAAGCAAAGAAAGAAATGTTCCTCGCAAAGAAGACCGCAGTGCCAGCAGTGGGGCTGAGGGTGACGTGTCTTCTGAACGGGAACCGTAGACTTCAGGGATGGAACTCAGGTAGGAGTGTCTCTTCCCTGCATGGCTCCATCCTCCCATATTTTGGGCAACCATCAATGAATAGAGAACAGAATGGCTTTTGCTGTTGAATTCATTTTATGGACATTCATCTATAGCTTCCTTCAATTCACTGACTTGGAAGGTGGAGAGAAAAGTTAAAATGTGGAAGAGGCAGGTACCCATGGCCTGGGGTGTTCACCTAGGAGGTTCTGTGTATTTTACCTTTTTCAGTTGTCTATGTCAGTTGACAACTGCGGCTACTATTAGCATTTCTAGAGTGTTCACAGATCCAGAATCTAGACCAGGAGCTTTATTCAAGCTCTCACTGTTGGTCCCTCCTCTCCATTCTTGCTCTTGGCATCTCCTATGGCCACCATTGTCATTTGTGGCAGCCTCCCCTCTAATTTCCAGCCTAATTTTCTGCTGTCCTTCACGTCATCTGGCATGGCATTGCTAGTTTACTTTTTCTAAAACAGGGATTTATTCTCATCACTTCGATACACAGGAATGGGCCTCAGTCCACATAGTGATTTGATGTTGACTCCACCTCCCTGCCTGAAAATCGGAGTCCTCTAAAACTTGATCCATTTGTCTTAAGTTCATTCTCTCAGTGAACAATTATCAAGAGCCTCTTACTTGGAGTTCACAAGTTCAGGGAGAAGCATAGAAATAATTATGCTATAGCATGGTGCACTGTGGTGGTGATGGGTTGTGGGATGAGGTGGAGATGGAAGTTGGGGAGGCTCCATGGAGGGGAAAACTCTGAAACTAGACATGTAGAAATGGGTAAAAAAGGGGTGAGGGTAGGGAGCTGCATAAGCCTAGAAAAGAGCAGGTGCTAACGTTGAGGGTGAGAGACAAGGACAGATAAATGTTGGAACAGAGGTACTGAAGAATGGCTAAAGTGTTGGGTACAAATTATGGTGGGTGTTGTCCAAGGAGCATCTCTGAAGTTAGAGATGTAGGAGGGTTCTGGGCCATAGAAATCTGGATGCAACTCTTGAGAAATTTGGATTTCATCCTATGGTGCTAGGAAACCTCTGAAAGGTTTTAAATACACAAGAGACATAATCAGATACCAAGGTTAAAAAGATCACTGTAATGCAATCTTGGGCAATGAGGCTAGAAGCAGATAGGCCACTTTGGAGGCATTTGCACAAGCCAAGAGAGGATCAAAGTCTTTGTCACCTTCAGTTTATAGACTGGTTCAAACCAAGTCAGCAGACAGGTTTGTCCTGGAGATGTCAAATTATGACACAGGAGAATATTTGTAAGGTTTTCTGCCTTCTCTTTTCCTTATGAAAAGGAAGAAGATAGAAGTCTATCTATGAAATGTCCTTTAGAACACACACTACTAGATATTGAGGTATATTATTACCAAGACCATAGTGATAATTTGGTGCAATGGAAACCAGCTTTTAAACATAAGCAGAGCAAAGGAACAGAATAGAGCTCAGAAAAGAAGGTAAAGGGATTAGCCAAAGAACATGCTTATGTATGTGTAACTCATAGACACAGACAACAGTGTGGTGATGGCCAAGGGGACAGGGGGCAGGGGCTGGGTGGAGGTGGGCAAAGGGAGGAAAATGGGGATGTCTGTAATAGTGTTAATGATTTTAAAAATTAAAAAAAAATGCATTGTGGATTTATGGATAGTCCCACCAGGCTGGAGTGGGAGGTATCAGATTGAACGGTAGTTCTTCTGGAGCTGCTTCTCAAACTTCCTCTGCCTCTGGGGAACATGCTAGAGAGAACATCTCAGCACTTGCTTCTGGTTCCCAAATGAAGAAAAAAGGGCCAGTTAATATGATTACTATGATGGCCAGGGAGCTATTTATTAGGCCAAAATTTCAAAGTGAACAATTCCTTGGTTCAGAAGAAGAATCTCATTTGATATTCCTTTTTGGGCTGAGGCCAACTGCCCAGCCTTCATGCTTTTTTACTCTCTTGGCCTCACTCAGGCACAGCACCATTTCTTTTCCCTTTAGTGTTAAGATTATGAAGAATGGGCTGTCCTCTGGTTAGCTGTGACCTTAAACAAGTTAAAAAAGTAAAATTTTAGACCCCCATGATGAACTCAATGAATAGGAAGGAAATAAAAATACAGTAGCACCTCAGTACTTGTTAATTTGTTTTGGAACTCGTGTCAAGTGCCAAAACCAAGTACTGAATGCAATGAGTAATGAAGCATTTTCTCTTGTGGGGAAGTGTAATGACTCATACAAGTTCTAGAACATGTGATGAATCCTGAGCAAGTGCCAAGTGCTGAAACATTTTTTTCTTGTCAAAATGCAATGAGTAGAGGGTTTGATGAATTCTGAAGCTGATGAGTACCAAGGTGTGATTCTATAAGTACTCATCTTCCAGTAACCAAATCCAGCTTATTCACCTAAACACACACACAAACACAAATTCAAATGTTTTTTGGAGCTTTATCTTTTTTTCAGATAAATACATGTTATTTATGTATTTATTTTAATTTTTTTGTTTCAGCTTTCACTTTCTTTTTTTTAGTATTTTTTCCATTACCATTTATTCCCCCATACCCTTTTAAACCTCCACCCATGCCCTCCCCTCACAATCACCACAGTGTTGTCCATGTCCTTGAGTTCTCTCCTTTTTTTTGCTTGATTCCTCCAACTCCCCAAACCCCACTCCAGAGCTGTCAGCCTGTCTCTGCTCCTGTCTCTGCTCTATCAGTCTGTCTCTGCTCCTTAGTTTAGTTTTTTCATTAGATTTCACATATGAATGAAATCATTTGGTACTTGTCTTTCTCTAAATACTTATTTCACTTAGCATAATGTTCTCCAGGTCCACCCATGCTGTCACAAAGGGTAAATTTTCTTCTTTTTTTATGGCTGAGTAGTATTCCATAGTGTAAATGTACCATAGCTGTTTTATTCACTCATCTACTGATGGACACTTGACTACCTCCAAATCTTGACTATTGTAATTGATGAGGTGATGAATGCAGGGGTGCATGTATTCTTTGGTATTAGTGTTCAGTTATCTTTGGATAAATTCCCAGAAGTGGGGTTTCTGGGTCATAAGGCTTTCCCACTTTTAATTTTTTGAGGTATCTCCATACTGCTTTCCACAGTGGCTGCACCAATCTGCATTCCCACCAACAGTGTACAAGGGTTCCCTTTTCTCCACATCCTCACCAACACAAGTTGCTTGTTGATTTAATGATGGTAGCCATTTTGACAGGTATGGTGGTATCTCATTGTGGTTGTAATTTACATTTCTCTGATGAATAGTGACATTGAGCATCTTTTCATATGTCTATTGGCTATTGTATGTCTTCTTTGGAAAAGTGTCTATTCAGGTCCTTTGCCTATTTTTTTTTGGTGTTAAGTTTTATAACTTCTTTATACATTTTGGATATTAAGCCCTTGTCAGATGTATTGGTGAATATGTTCTCCCATTCAGTGGGTAGTCTTTTCATTTTATTGATGTTTTCCTTTCCTGTGAAAAAATGTTTTTATTTTATGTAGTCCCTTTTGTTTATTTTTTCTTTTGTTTCCCTTGACAAAGAGATATATCAGAAAGTATATTGCTACAAGAAATGTCTGAGATTTTACTACCTCTGTTTTCTTCTAGGATGTTTATAGTTTCTAGTCTAACATTTGAGTCCTTAATCCATTTTGAGTTTATTCTTATGTGTGGTGTTAGAATGTGGTCTAGTTTCATTTTTTTTTTTTGCAGATGTCTGTCCAAAATTCCCAACATCTTATATTGAATAAATTATCTTTAGCCCATTCTATGTTTTTGCCTCCTCTGTCAAATATTAATTGACTGTAAAGGCATGGGTTTATTTCTGGGCTCTTTGTTCTATTCCTTTGATCTATGCGTCTGTTTTATGCAAATACAATGCTGTTTTTATTACTAAGGCACTGTAGTATAGTTTGATGTTAGGTAGCATGATTCCTCCAACTGTGTTCTTCTTTTTCAGGATCACTGTTGCTATGTGGGGTGTTTTGTGATTCCATATAAATTTTTGGAGTATTTGTTCTAGTTCTGTAAAATATGCCATTGGGATCCTGATAGGTTACATTGAATCTATAGATTGTCTTGGGTAGTATGGACATTTTAATGACATTAATTCTTCATGTCCACAAACACAGTAATGCTTCCACTTATTTGTGTTTTCTTCAATTTCTTTCTTCACTGCCTTACAATATTCCAAATATAGTTCTTACACATTCTTGGTTAAATTTATTGACACATATTTTATTCTTCATGAAGCAATTGTGAATGGGTTTTTTTTCTTAAATGTCCTGATAGTTCATTATTGGTGTATAAAAAGGCAACTGATTTCTGAATATTAATGTTCTATCCTGCTACTTTACTGAATTCATTTATCAGTTCTTGTAATTTTTGGTGGAATCTTTATGTTCTCAAATACAGTATGATGTCATCTACAAATAATGGCAGTTTTACTTCTTCCTTTCCAATATGTATGCCTTTTACCTTTTTTTTTCCCTTGTCAGATTACTATGGCTAGTACTTCCAGTACTGTGTGGAATAAGAGTGGTGAAAGTGGACATCCTTGTTTTGTTCCCAATCCTAAGGAAAACGCTTGTAGTTTTCGCCCATTGAGTATGATAATTGGCTTTCAGTTTGTCATATATGGCCTTTTTTATGCATTGGTATATGTTTCTCTATTGCCACTTTGCTGAAATTTTTTATCATAAATAGGTGCTGGATTTTATCAAATGCTTTTTCTGCATCTGTTGATATGATCATGTGGTTTTTATCCTTCATTTTGTTTATGTGGTATATGACATTTATTGATTTTTTAATGTTGTTCTGACCTTGAATCCTGGAATAAAGCCCTTTGATCATAGGGTATGATCTTTTTGATATATTGCTGTATTCAGTTTGCAAATATTTTGTTGAGCATTTTAGCATCTATATTTATCAGGGATATTGGCCCATAATTATTTTTTGTAGTGGCTTTCTTTGCTTTTGGAATTAAGATAATGCTGGCCTTGTAA